ACTCTAAAACCACTAAATGCAGCTTTAAAAATTAAAGCAACCACATATTTGCAATAAGAAAATCACTTCGGAGAAGCAGAGAAATAAATTATCAAGTAATAAGCACATAACTGCCATCTGTAAGATAAAAGGTCACATAAACCAAGTTTAATCATTCAAAATCCCTAACCAATACATGATTATGAGCAACTTAACCTCCATCATACTGTTTTAACTATTAATACTACCATTACCTGTACCAAAAGTTAATCAAGTTTGATACTAGACACAATACAGAAAATTAAAAGGACTGGAATAGGAAAGTAATTTGATTCATATCAAATCAGAGGGCTTTCAAGCTGCCCGTCAGGGCATTTCTTCAGGGGAGAGCAGACAAGCCAGTTATTACCATAAGGGGTCCTTCATCTTGCCCACGCGACCACCGCAGCACGCGCCGTCACCCTTGGAGATCTCTCCTTTCGCAGTGGCTCCGGCAATCACAGCCTGGGACAAGGCAGATTCCACATCCTCAGTCTCAAGGTAGAACAGACGTTCGATTAACCACGACTACGAACATTTTAAATAGTCAAAACCATAGATCTATCATACAACGATTAAAAAGGGGGGGAAATACCTCCAAACTCGTTCAAAGAAAATAAAAGAAGAAAATAAGAAAGACAAAAAACATACGGAGCAGAGTCGTCATCAATGAGGTCCAATACAACAGCAATAGCAGATCCGATCTTGAGTTCAGCAGAGAGAACAAATGGAATCTCGTGATCAGCCTTCCTTTTGGGGTGCATGACGCGGCTCAGTTCCTTAGCTCCAAAGGCTATCTTGTAAAACTGCACGGTATCGTTGGCTTTCGGTGCATCCACCACAACCCACGGCGTACATCACCAATCCCTTTTCTCCGACATCTTCACCAGTGGTGGGGGGTGAGGTAAGAGCAGAGAGAGATTGAAAAGGAGAAAATGAATATGGATAATAGGGTTTGGGTTGCAAGCGACGATAATTGGTAGAGGGAGAAGAGAAGGAGAGAGAGAAAAATGAATTGGGGTTGTAGGGAATTGAAAATTTGGGTTAGGTTGGGTTGGGTTAGGTTGGGAGTGGATGGTGGGTTATAATAAATATTTATTAACAAATTCATATAATTGATATTATTAAAATATTAATTAACACTTGATTTATGAAAAGAAAAGTTTAAGATCTGATATTTGAAAAGTATAGTTAAAATGTAGGGATTTGCTTAATTTTCTCTAATATGATTTCTTTTCATACTTTATTAATAATCATATCATGCCTGATTTAATTCATGATGCTATTTGGTAATTTATGTTGCAATTTAACTCATGTATGGTAACTAATATATAGCATGATTAAATATTTTTAGATATTCTCTTATAAAATAATTTATCATATTGTTGCTCCTAAAGTAGCACAACATTATAATTAATATTCTGGAAGAATAATATGTTTACTGCTCCTGAAGAGCAGATCTTTATACAGATAAGGCCCTGTATGGTACACATTATTTTTTTTATTTTCATTCTTCTACTCATTTTCAATCACACATTTTTCAATAAAATAATATTTTCCATCACAATAACTTTTCCTTCTTTTTCAACTACATATTTCTCATCACATCAACAGTAAAAATGCATTCTTACCTTCAAAATGTGCACCAAACGGGGGCTAACTTTCTTGCAAATTTTCTGGTTCTCACGTTGTTTTTGGGTTGGTATGTTTTCAATTACGTTGTGAAACAGTAAAAATACATTCTTATCTTCAAAATATGCACCAAATGGGGGCTAAATATCATATAATAATAATTTATCAATACTCTTGAAGAAGCAAAACTCTGCAAATATTAATGTATGATAGATAACATACTCCCGTAGAGTTAATATTTTTAAATAATAGTTTATTGATATTCCTGAAGTAGTACACTATTATTGACAAATATTTCAGTTAAATTTTATTTGTTCCTGAAGAGTATAGTTAAATAAGATCTAACGTAAATTATATTTTTACCCCTAAAGAGTAAATTCATTGTATAATTTATTATAATAATATTTGATTGCTCATGGAGGGCATGAATTATAATTTTCAATATTTCAGAAGAATATCGACATATTGTTTTTGAATAAGCAATAATAATATAAAGAGCTCTCGAAGTAGCATATGTTTCGAAAAATATATCATTTTGAATTTATGTTTATTCTTGAAGGAAAACATATAACTAAGTCATGAGAACATTGATTAATTTGACTACTTGAATGATATATAATTATAATGTTTAATCATATTTTTCAAAATTAAATAATTGAATTATATATTATATTGAACTAGAAGTGCAGTTTGATTTTATTGTTTGACATGATTAGTTGGATCATCATTGGATCATTAATGATGCGAAATGAGAATTCGAACATTCAATGAAGAACTAGAAGATTCTTCAATCCATTAAATTCCTATATAGCCCCTGTTTGGGGCAAATTATTTGCCCAAAATAATGAGAATTATAGCTGTTAACCATCAAATCAACTGAAAATTGTTGACTTCTCAAGTCTTGTGTGGGGCCCAACTTTGACTCCAACTGCTGGAATTTTCATTCTTTTACCCAAAATAATGAGCCTCAAATAGAGGCATAATATTTGTTCTCTTTATCGAAAAATTGATCATCACTAGTTAAAATATGGATTGAATTCCTTATATTTCTAAAAATTAATCAGGGTGATAAATGAGCCCCATCACCATTCACGTTGATCATTTAGATATTATTTGTATATAATAGATTTGATACATATACTAGATGATTGCATGATTTTTAGATTATACAATCAAGACGGAATGTCTTGTTGATGCTAGTGATCTTAAATCTCAACCTTCTGATAAATGTTAGTTAAGATGTCGATAAAGTGGTTTGACACTATTACTTGTTAAACGCCTCCAATTAATTTAATTGAGAACAAAGTACTTTTCATTTATGTTTATGGGAAAATATTACGCATCATGCTAACACCATAGTTTTTCCTATTATAATGACTTACGATGGAAACCTAATTTTTCCATCTAATTATTTTTAATAATGTAATACTTGCAAAATTAATCCACTACGATGCACTAAGATAGAAAGCAAAGAATGGCAAGAATAAATGAGTAGTTTGAACCTTATACAATATCTCAAGCCCTAAAGTGTGATATTTTATAAAGCGATTTGCTGATTGTCAATTGACTGGACAATTCTTTCAACATTAGGGGGATTAATTAAGAAATTAGAAATAATGTACAAATGCATCATTATCTAAATTCTCGTAAAAGATTATTCGAACAAGAAATTCAGAAGACAATTTATTTAGATACATTTACTAATCAAAGAGAAATACCAATTTTAAATGCTCCAACTAGAATTAAAGTCCTAGAGGACAATTAGGTAATATTATATTTGATCAATTTATAGCACGTTAGAAGTGTGATGATATTCGATTCTAATATAAAATTTTCAAATGAAAATTGATTAATTAGTAAAGATGGTCCCATTAAGAAGGCATATACTCTTAATGAGTATTTAGACACAACAAATTATAAGATCTCATAGGAAGTTCATGTATCTGATATATTGAAAGTTGAGATATCTCAATAAGTTATGTCATTATGAGAAAATAAATAGAATCCAAAAGAAAATGTTGTGAACAACACCTTTGTACATGATATACTGTATCATATTATAAATAGTGAGGAATCAAAATAAATGTGTCAAAATACATCGATCAAAGTAATGGTTAGCCAAATAAAATGGACGCAATCCTAAATTGAATTTACTGGAGAAAGTTAATGTTTTTAGACCTGTAATCTGATAAATCTAAAGGTGTATACTTATGCGAAAAGGAAATAAGAAAAATAAAGTCATAATATGTGATGCACGACTGTCAACATAGTGAAATTCACGGTGGATGAAATCACATGTCCGTATTTTGTTATCCTGACAATGTATGGAACTTGAAATACTGTTACAACCAACTCATATAACATGACTATTAATGTTATCTCTGAAGAATTTAATATGCCTGAAGTATATAATTCAAGTGATATAATCTGATGGAGTAAATACGCATTATACTATTTTTCCATTGATCAAGGTTTTGTCCTATTGAATTTTTTAATAAGGCAATTTTTGTGGCGTATTCAAAAGAATAACATATTCCTTTTCGTTCATTAGGATTTTTTCCAGAATTTTTCTCATTAAGATTTTAACGAAACATATTCTTTCTCCTTCATTAGGATTTTTCCCACGGAATTTTTCTCATTAAGATTTTAACGAAACATATTCTTTTTGTAATGAACGTCCATTACATACAATATATTTACCCTTATAATGACTCTATATATACAAAATTCTCGAAGAGATCAACAAGAACTATTTTTGATTCATCATGTTACTAGAGTTATTAAAGGTCAATAAATATCTCGTATGAAGAAGATGTTATTTGAAAATTATGTAAGACAACATGAAACATACTTCATTAGAATTTGCAATATTGAAGATATTGATGTACAGGATATGGATAGCTTGATACGAGAATTTTCAAATCAAGGGAAGTAGTTTTACTTTTTTTCCTTCGATCGAGTTTTGTTCTACTGAATTTTCTTGACAAGATTTTAACGAAACAGCATTTTATTACTCCAAATTATTTGTACTTTTTTCATTTTTCGGTATTTTTCCCATCGAGTTTTTGCCAAACTATATTTCAAAGAGATAGTTATTGTGCACATAATCATTAAAGGAAGAGTGTTGTAAAATAATGAGATAATTATTGATGATTATTTAATATTATCATGATATATAGATACATCTTATCTAGTCTAAAAGATCTATTTTATTTCAATTGTAACTCTTATTTTGAATATTATAAATATGATATGAGATATTGATTCTCAATAAAACACACTTGAGTTTTAACTTTCTATTTTTTCTCTATATTTCTATTTTATGACAAGATGTTAAATATATTAATTTTGTATTAAGGGTAGACTAATCATAGGAGTGGGCTACGAGTCGGGTCAGGCTGATTTTTACGCAAACCCGACACGACCCGAATTTACCTATTTTAGGCTATTTTATAAACCGAACCGGCCCGACCGTTATGCAGGAACCGATCCGGCCCAATCGAGACGATTCGTGTTGGTTCGGGCCGGGTCATCAATTTTTTTTAAAAAAAATTTTCAATAAGTTCAAACTGTCAAATTAATCCTTATTTGCCTGAAATAAAATCAGAAAAAGTTTAATAATTTTTTCTTCATGTTGATGATAGTTTGTCATTTTTATAAATCATGATATCGTAAAAAATTTAATCGAAACAAGATAATTTAATTAAATTAAAAAAACACTAATTAAAATAAACAAAATCAAAATAGCCATCAAGCATGAAAAAAAATTTAAATATTACATTAATCCAAACTCAATAAATAAGAAAATACAAATGCTACAATCATCCAAAATCAAAAGTCTCACAAAACAAATAATAAGTTAAAATGTTACAA